GAAGAAACTGAGGCACACAGAAATTAAATCAAGTGTCCCAAGTGGAGTCAGAAGGTAAAGCCACGGGCTAAATCAGGACTGGTTCCCCATAAGCAAAGCTCAGGTCCGTATCACATTTCCACACTAGTACTTAGATTGCACGGTTAAAGACTCTTATCCTCTCTCCCTCGTTCAAATACACACTCTAATGTAGCTCCTTTGCCCTGGTGAGCTCCTCAGCCCCAGACGGGGCTCCAATAATGCTGAATAATCCATGGCCCCAAGATTGCCAGGGAGCCTTGGTTTCTCACCTTATTTTATTCATAAGTATAATAGAGCCCAAGGAACCTGACTCCCTGCCTTACAGAGAGGAGATGGAATGAGCTAATGTCTTTAAGGTTGTGGATCTGCTTGGAATGTGGGGTTAGAGAAATAGGAGCTTTGTTAGTTACGCCACTTGACAAACCCCCTCAGTCTTCACTTTCCACCAAACTGCATGAATAGGCTCCAGTCTCCCTCTGCTCATCTCTCCTGCAGGCAAGTTGCCTATTTTAATTTGGACTGTGCTTCTGGAATGTCAGCGGAGGGGCTGGAGTGGCTGGAGGATGAAGCTGGGAACGGGATGTAATGGAGGCCTTGATTTAACAAAGATGAGTTCCACTGGTTAAGCATCTTAGTAGGGTTCAGCAGTGCAGGCAGAGCTCATTTTTTGCTGCTGTAGGAGCTTGAGGTACTTGCATTCCCTGTGCTAGATTGCTCAGGGCAGGTCTTTTTCAGGGAGAGAGAGAAGCTGGTTTCTCCGTTTTGTTCTGCCCTTTGAAGAGATCCTTCTTACTAAGCTATAGAGTAAAGGCTTAAAGATGTCTATATAAAAATCCACTTGCTCTCAAGGCTTTTCTCCTCCTCCCCTTTCTCTGTTGAGCATCATGCTAAGGCCCCACAGACACCTCCCTCACCAGGCACCAATGGCTCCCATCTCCCAGAGCCAACGGTCAATGCTCCCTCCTTCCACTTCACTGACCAGCTGCATTTGACTCTTCTCCTTGAAATGCTTTCTTCATTTCAACCTTCTTCTCATTTTCCTCCTGCCTCAATAACTGCTTTGTCTCCTTTTTCTAGATTTTTCTCAGATCCATGACCTCTAAATATTAGAGTATGTCAAAGATTAATGCCCACCTCTATTTTCTCTTTTGTCTAAAATGTTATCCTAGGTGGTCAGATCCAGTACAATGGCTTTAAATCTCATTTCTATGCCAATGATTCTCATATTTGCAGCTCCATCCTGGACTTACTCTCCAAACTCCGGACTCTAATATCCAATCACCTATTTAACATCTCTCTTTGGTTGAGATATGCATCCCAAACATGTCCCAAACTGGACTCTGATCCCCATCTCTAAACTGCTCCTCCCACTGTCTTCCTAATCTCAACGTTATTCAAATTGCTCAGGTCTCAGACGTTGGAATCATTTGACTGTTTTTTTTTACATTCCACATCCAAATCCTACTGGCTCTAAACTCAAAATATGTTCAGAATGTAGCAGTTTCTCTCCACCTCTGCAGCTAGTTCCTTGCTCTGAGTCAGTCTCACCTGGATTATTGCAGTGTCCTCCTCCCTGATCTCCCAGCTTTCACATGGCACCCTACAGTCCTTTCCCAACACAGCAGAGACAGGGGTTCTTTGAAAATCTAAGTTAGATCATATCACTCTTCTACTAGAAATTCTCCAATGGCTTCTCAAGTCATTCAGAATAAAATCCAAATTTGTCATCTAAGCTTATGATTTGTCCCACCACCACCTCTCTGAACTTATCTCCCTCTCATTCTTCCTCTTTCACTACAGTGGCCTCCTTAATAATCCTTAAACATGCCCAGCATGCCCTTGCTTCAGGGCCTTTGACTTGTATTTCCTCTGCCTCAAATGATCTCTCACCAGATGTCCATGTGGCTTATTCCTTCTCTTTATTTTGGTCCTTGCTTGAAAGCTGTCTTTTAAGAGAGGACTTCCTGGTCACCATATCCAATAAAGAGCCCTTTCCACAAGTCTCTCAATCTCTGTGCTCTTACCCTGCTTTATTTTTTCTTAGCGTTTATAATAACCTAGTATATTAAGCATTTGTTTATTTCTTTTATTATTTCTTTTCTTGAAATAGAATAAATAGCTTCATTTGCATAGCTATCTCTGTTTTCTATACCACTGTACTTACATGGAAGTCACAACAGATATATGTTGAATTAATAAATGAATTTCTTTTTATTAATAGAAGTTAAGATGTGTGTGTATGTGTATGTGTGTGTGTATGTGTATTGTCTCCGACTAATTAAAGGCTATGTGTATGGGAGTTTAGATTTTATTTCCTTCTCAGAAAGTCAGTGTGTTTTTCGCTTCACTCTTTCTGCCATAATTGTCCCAGAGAAAGGAGTAGAGTAAACGTGTTTTTGGAAAGAGAAGATACGATAGAGGGGAGGTTATTGCTATGCAGAAGGGGGAAGGAAAAGTCCATCTCTCCTGGTCCAAGATAACTGTGGGGAAAGGAAGAGAGACAAAGAGATACAGAGAAGAGCTCAAATACAAACAGGCTGGGCTCACCATCCATATCTCCCTCCCACCTCAGTGGAAATCATGAAAATTCTGAGTACAGAGAGTTTCCCCCTGTTTCTTATTTGATATTCTGAGAGAAGACCATTTCATAGAGTCATCTTCTATCCTCTCTAGCCCTTCTATGAGTCAGAATAAAATTCCTGCTATGGCATGATTAGGAGGGGCACAGGTTAAAATCAGTGCCCTAGAACCAGGTCCCCTACTCTGTTTAATTTTCTATGCCTTCAAAAATATCTAGAAGTTCCAACTTGCTCTGTGGAGGGACACAGAAGGAAGGTGATGGTGCTTCTGGCTGCTGAGATTACTGGGAATCACTGTAGTGATTGTGAAGGGGCCCTGTTGCCATAGCCTGCCCAAGATGGTTCCAAGGCTAAGTATCAAATGAAAATCACTCTCAGATGTTGGAGATAAATAAGATGAGCAAAAGTTGAGCTGGGACTGGGTCACCTGAGAAGGCCACCAGGTCCTTGTTGAGCCAAGAAGGAACAGACCACTAACCTACCAGTTTCAGATTTCAGCAGTAGATGCCAGCAGGCCAAGCAGTGACCAATAGAACAATTAGGCCATCACAACAGAGGCCAACTACTACCCACATGCTAATCCATGACCACTGGTACCAGGATATGGTGAGCTACTTCACACACCCATTTATCCAGAGGTGATATTTGAAACATTTAACAAATGTATGGCCCAGGTAGTGACACTGTCCGTAAGATGGATTAATCCTTTTTTCTCTGCCCCAAGGTCATGGAGATATTTTCCTATATTGGTTTTATATAATAGAAATTTTATAGCTATTCCTTTCATCTTTAGTTATTTTAATATATCTGGAATTGATTTTTATATATGATGTGAGGTAGGGATCCAGTTTAATATTTTCCCCATTCTTGACCCGTAAAACTTTCAAAAGTTCTTAGGTTTGTCACCATGCAAGCGGTGAGATTTCCTGTAATAGAATGGATTTGATGGGGTGTTACTGCCAACTTGTACATATAGATTATTTGTTAGTCAGGTGTTGTTAGTGGGATGCTTTATGCCTGTCCCTTTTATTGTCCATTAGTGCTCCATGCTTTAACCCTCTAATCTCCAGGCCCAAGTTTTTACAGGTTGACAAACTGAGTCAAGTAAATTGGCTGATGTTGTAACACCAGGACATCTCATTTATGCAAATTCCTCAATGGAACTAAAATAGAAAATAATTCTGCCTTGGTATATGACACATTTGCCTTCACATGTTACTTTGACAGAAGGGAAGCCCAAGACAGAAAAAGGGTGAAAGTGAAATCTCTAAAAGCCTGACACTCTTAGGAATTTCTTTACACCAAGGCCATGCCTTTTGTGACTAAACAATACACATTTACTCAGCATCTATGAAATGGATTTTAAGTTTACAAAGCTTTAAAAAATTGTAAAATCCCTAGTTCTCTGCAATAGGCAAACCAGAGATTCACTTAATTTGTTACTCATCGTTTTGGCCTATAAACTCAAATACTTATTAACGCTGTAAATATGCCTTTTTACTGGCTGTCTGACAGCTCCCATGCTTTCTGTGCTGTCTCCTTAAACATTTATGAGTGTTCATGAATATGCAAATACACAATCTAATGTCTGCAAATGGTTGCAAGTACAAATGCTATGTTAATATTTCATACAGTGATGGGAGCAAATCAACAATCATAAATTTTGAACAAATATGTTGCCTCATTAATAACTAATGAAGCAGTGCATAGAGCTGAGGATTTGGCATTTAATACTAGAAGTGGTATTTAAACAGAGCCTATCAGGCAAGGCCACTGCTTCCTAAAATTTCCGTAAGATCTTCTCCTTCCAGGGTAGTTTCTGTTTGGAGATGGGAAGAGGCATTTGAAAAGAGATGGTTTCATAATACTTGTGTTAAAAACTGACACCCCATTACATGGTAGGAATAAAAATAATTCTTACAACTAACGAACTGTCCTAAAAATAGACCTTCGTGTACAAGGAATGTGCTTTATTTGGTTTTTCCACTTTCCTGAGAACTGAGGAAGACATGATATCAGTGGGGGAGAGCTTCAAGACTTATTAGAAACAGAGAAATGTAGACATCAAAGGAATTTCATGGGTTAACCCCTGTAGCTACTCATGAGACTTCAAGAGGTGGTTTCCCTTTAGTAGCAGGGCCTGTCCTGGGACTCAGAGCTTTTGGTTCATGACGTTAATCCTTCCACACTTGGCCATACTGCCACCTTTCCGGGGCACCAATTTCTTAAGGAATCCAGTGTCCTCATTAATCAAATATTAAAGTGAAAACTCTCAATTACCATATAGCTGAGAGATTATGTCAAAGATTTTGAAAAGAGTAAAATATCAATAACAGATTCAAAAGTTACTTTAATATATATTTCAGTATATTCAATTATAAATTGGATTAAGACCCTTTCCAGCTCCAAAAATTTGAAACCTCTCAGTGGGCTCTTCCTTGGCTGAGATACAAGATGTTCCAGAATTTTTCAGCTTCCCTGAATCACCATAAAGGGCATCAGTGACCATTTTATAGGCCTACAGGAGTAGGATGTATTTTAGATTGGATAAACTAGTATTGGCCATATGGTATATCTTGGAAGATTCTGTTCAAAAATAAATTCTTGATGTCAGTCTAATTATTTATCATTTGTGTTCTCTTTGTGGAAATCATCACAGTGCTTTTAGTAGTAGTACTTTACCATTTTTTGAGTGCCTTCTTTTATATAATTTTCTTTTATCTTCACAAGTTGCCCCATAAATAGATATAATTATCCATATTTTACAGATGAAAAACTTGATCTGAGAGAAGTTAAGTATTTGCTAAAGGAAGAAAAAAAATCAGGTTATTTGAATGTGTGAAAGTTGGAGTTTATTATTATATACAGCTTTATAAAACAGTGGCTTAAAAATATTCTTGACTTTAAAAAATGGGTTCCTTTGCTGTTTCTGGACCTGGACTAATTTGCTTTCACCTTCTTTTATTCAGATTCCATTTCAGTTAGCCTAACTTTCTTCGTTGTTCAAGTCCCCATCCAGGTAGAAAATAAAATATTTATGTATTGGCAATAATGTCTTTGGTAACGTATTTCATGCTCAGTGGTGGTAATGTATTAAGACACCCCTTCGTAAGCATCTTTGTGGAACTATTGGAACTATTATGTATCTTGACTATGGTGGTGATTACAGGAATCTATACATGTGATACAATGGCACAGAACTAAATACACACCCACATTAGTGCATATAAATCTAGGGAAATCCAAATAAGACTGGTGGATTGTATCAATGCTAATTTTCTGGTTGTGATATTCTGCTACAGTTATGCAAGGTGCTACCATTGAAGGAAACCAAGTAAAAGGTACATGGGATCCCTCTGTACTGTTTCTTAGAACAGTATGTGAATCTATAATTATCTCAAAATTAAACTACAATTTATAAAACTACAATTAAAATACAGTTAAACTATTTTTTAAAAAGCTCTTTCTGGTTAATTGGCATTAAATTGTTCACACAATACTTTAGGATACGTTGGACCCAGAGGAACACAAAGGATATTTCAGTATGTTTTATGCTCTGATGTTGAGCCGTGACACCTATGGAGTATGAGTGGGTATAGTGAACAGGCTGTTAGGCTTAGGGACCTGGATGCTAACTGAACCCTTCCACTCTCCAAGAATGTGATTTTGAGCAAGTCATTTTCTGCTTTGAGGCTGTTTCCTCATTTATAAAGTGTTATGATGAGATTAGCATAGATCTAACCCTTAGTATGTCGCAATAAGACCTCACCCCCTCATCGCCACCACCCTTCCAACTTTACCTCATTCATCACATCCATGGTAGATATTTCTTTTATTTTCCTTTAAAAACATTTTTGATTTATCTTTTTTAAAAAGAAATTTTATATTATGGAAAAATCTAAGTATATGCAAGAGAGAATATTTTAATGATTCCTAACAATTATCAACTCAGGGCCAATCAGGTTCTCTCTACACCTCCACTCACTCCATTTTCCAGCACAATATCCCACCCCCTCCCCCAATCCCTAATCATTTTGAAGCAAATCAGTGATGTTGTAGCATTTTATTTGTAAATATTTTAGAATGTATTTCTTAAACAATCACAAAAACATAATCATGACACTATTATCGTATCTGAAACATTGATTCCTTAAAATCATCAAATATTCAGTGTTCAAATTTCCCTGATGCCTCATGATTTTTTAAAATAGATTGTTCAAATCATTATCCAAATGACCTCGTAGCTGATATTTCTAATGCATGGTTTTTTCTGCTGATGGAATAATGGTTTCAGAGCCTTTCTCAACACAGCACTCCAAGCCACTCTCATTCCACAGGTCAGAGTTGCCACACAGGGGAATTGAAATCACATCGCTTTCCCTGGACAAGAGCTCTGGGAAGTCCTCTTAGAATAGCAGTTTCGGATAGATTTTTTTGGGGGGCAGGGGGGAAGAAGATTGGCCCTGAGGTAACATCTTTTGCCAATCTTCATCTTTTTGCTTGAGGAGGATTTGCCCTGAGCTAACATCTCTGCCCACCTTCCTCTGTTTTGTATGTGGGACGCCGCCACATCATGGCTTGATGAAAAGTGTATAGGTCTGTGCCCAGGATCCGAACCTGTGGACCCCTGGCCACTGAACTGGGGCACATGTACTGAACCAGTACACCATGGGGCCAGCTCTCTAATTGATTTTTAAGTCACTATTGAGAATCTGATAAAAAGCTAATGGTCTTTCTCCTATGATAAAACTTTAAATTTTTTTCAAAGTGTTTTTCAAAAATAATAAAAATATAAAATATATATTTTTATATATTTTATTTATAAAATGTATTTTAAAAATAAAAGTCATGTTTTTAATCTAGGCTTCTATGTAAATGGTTAAGCCCAGAGCTGTTGGGGTCTGACAGACCCAGGTTTGAATCAAAGTGTCGTTTACCAGCTACATGACTTAAAAAATGTCTTGATTCCCTTGAGCTTTATCTACTTCATCTACTAAATAGAGATGAAAGAACACCTATCTCAACGGACTGTGGGGAAGATCAAACGAACTAATTTAAGTAATTGAGAATAATTACAAGCAATTAATAATAATGAAAATAATTGTCATAATAACCAACAAGGAGTTAGTATTTACAAATTATATTCACTATTTTTTTCTATATTACTTTAGAACGTTACTATAACATCTTTTTCATAATCCAGAATGACAATACTGGCACTCTTTACTTGTCTGAAAATCTGACTTCTGGAAACCTCAATTATTCTGAACACAGCCATTGGTCTGAAAGTTATGAGAGTTAAAAATAAAAGAACTTGACTTCCAAAGAAAACAAGTTTCCTAAGATTAAAAATGGAGCTACCCTGGGGCAGGCCTGGTCACACAGCAGTTAAGTGTGCACGTTCCACTTCGGCGGTCCAGGGTTCAAGGTTTTGGATCCCGGGTGTGGACACGGCACCACTTGGCAAGCCATGCTGTGGTAGGCATCCCACATATGAAATAAAGGAAGATGGGCATGGATGTTAGCTCAGGGCCAGTCTTCCTCAGGAAAAAAAAAAGGAGAATTGGCAGCAGTTAGCTCAGGGCTAATCTTCCTCAAAAAAAAAAATAAATGGAGCTACCCTTACCTTAAGAATTGCCAGAGTTGGTAGTGAACGATGCCACAGGAGCATCAAGAAAGAACAGCATCCTGGGGCCATTTGCAGTGGAGACAAATGGGACTCTAACGTCCTCTGAGGGCATCCTTGCTTTACAGGAAAAACAGAAAATGATGTTCCTAGGATGACCCAAGGAAATATTAAAAATACATTCAAAAACACTGAAAAAGGAGTGAATAGTATATTACTTTTTAGAACTAGAGAGTGAGCGCTAAGGTACTTCTTCACACAGGCTAAACACACACATGAAATGGGGCAACATTTCTCATTTAGATAAATATTTTTCAGAGTCTTTTGAAAAGCTCTTTGCATTTATTTTTTAGCACTTTCTGGCAATTTGCCAGCTGCAGGATCCACACTAGACAGAATTTGGTGTTCTCATGGGGCCTGAAAAGGTAAGTTTTTGACCCACATTCTGGAGCTTCTGTTTTTATATCCTATTAAGAGCACTGTCTTCTTTAAATGTGGCCACTCAGCATCTTCTGTAGTTTTCCATTTCCAAAATCCTCTTGAGCAGAGGAGGATGGAGTCATGCTTGGTTCATTGGCAGAGCAAAGTTATGAAAGAAAGAAAACAACGCTGAGCCAGGAGAGGGCAGGAAATCCTTCTAGAGCCAAGAACAGAGCTTAGTCACATAAGCCGAACACTGAGTCTGGGCAAATGGGTCTTACTCTGCCTCAGCAGAGTGGAACAGAGAGGAGACTGAGTTTGATGAGGTTAAGACCAAACCCTCCCTTGGACCTGAAATGGCCCAGGAATCTCGAAAACAGATTGTGTTTGGAAGGCAGGGTATCTAAGCCAAGAGCTGCCTGAACCAGCCCAGGTCAGGGAGCCAGCCAATCTGTACAGGATTTTTTTTCCTCCCCTTTAATGATGTTGTTTGGGACTCTGGACTGACATAAGGCCTGGTGGGTGGCAATGAGAGACGGAGGATGGGAGAGCTTTGGGATTTTTCACATCAGAGTGAGAAAGAGAACAAACCGTGGCCACCAAAGGCAGTGAGTGAATAGAAGACAATAACATTCTCATTAGGCATAGACTCGCCATTTACCAGGATGTTGGCAAGAGGGAGTATGTTCAGAGTTATCAGGGACCTTTATGAAACCACGAGGTTGACTACTTCTGGTCAAGACTTTTCAATCTCTGCCCTTCAACTTGAGGAATTCTTATTTTGAAATTGTAGAGCCCATGACCCCAGCTCCCCCAAGCTTTCCCAGTCTTACCAATTATGCCTAAAGCTCAAACTGCGTGCTCATCACTTCTTTCCAGAGAGGAGAGAATTAAAAACTAGAAGAGAGAACAACAACAAAAAAGAGCATCTCTCCTCTCTTTGATTCTTCCTTCTGTTTCAAACATCTTCGCTTCCACAATGGGTCTCCAATTAATCCACGCTAAATTATTCTCTGAATTGCTCAGATCCTCCCTGAGCTGTGAAGTATCAACTTGTTGCTGCCCTGGAGTCTGAGAAAGATTTTTATTGCTAGACTAAACCTGTGTATATTTTACAAGAGGTATTTTTTTTTTAATTCATAAGCTAAACAGAATAAACCGAAAAACCACAGCACACAATGATTAGAATAGAAAGTATGAAAATTATCCTTAAGTTAGCAGCCAGGCAGCAGATAAGCAGGAATTTCCTAAGGGAAAATAATACAGAGGGCATACACTCTTGCTTTATAAACCAGATGGTGCCTTTTGGGGCCAAGAAGCCCCAATTTACTCTACTGTAGCTGAACTTACTATGAAGTATATTAGTGACTTAATAAAAAAAAAAGCAGATGCAACTTCCAGAGTTCTTATTTATGATTAGGTTAGAGAGCAACTGAAAATGGAAGAATCTGGAACAATATGTGAGGAGTTTGTGAGCACGATTTATCCACCCACCTAACATGCCTTGATGTCAGCTTCCTTTCCAGCCAGGAATGCCCTCGTCCCCCTCACTGCTGAGCTAAACTCTTTAAGACCCTTCCTCTTGCTTTTCCAGGCTGCTTCTCTGACTATCCCATGCAGGATAACAAGGCCTTTTCCAAATATGGAATCTGACTGACCACGCTTAGAAAATTCTTTCCTCTGCTTACTAGACACTTTCCCTGGCTGGAGTTATTTATATTTCCTGAGCCTACTGCCTCATTTATAAAATGGGACTAATAATCACTTCCTCAATGGATAATTATAAATGTGAAATTTTGGAATATAGCAAATGATTAACAGTAGCTATTATTATTTATAGCAATGATAGCATTAAGACAGATCATTTAGCAGCAAAATACAAACTCAAGATATTCAAAATATTTAACAAAGTCAAGGCATGGGCAGCATTCCATCACGGCAAACAGTTGTCCTGGTTCTGGAGCAGAGGTCCCGGTTGTGCCCAGCATTAGCTCCTCGGCTGCTGGAGGGTGGGACCAGAGGCTGGGTATCCTGAGGGAGGGTTTGAAGGGACCTGAGTAGCAGGTAGAGACTTAGCAAGCTTAGAGCACTGGTTATGTACCATCCAAAGGAGAAGCACTGAAATATCTTAATTACAAGTACCCCTGTAGCAGTGAAATAGATCAAATCTTAACCCTGTATATAACGCCTTGTACTCTTACTTATCATGTTATCTGCACATGACTTATATTCTCAAAGAGATTACAGGCTAACCATTGAATGTTAAAACTAAATCTTGTGCTTCTGACTCTCTAAATACTAGAATCCATTATCAGATGTGGTCAAGAGACGTTTACCATTCGATTGTTAAATAGAAACTGCTGTTATGTATTATTTCTATGTAGCACTCTTATTTTGACTACTTTTTAAAGGGGATTTATGTGGGCTTAATACGCAGGACAATGAATGCCTTGGAATCACATTAGGTCAAGGGCAATAACACAAGATCCTCACAGTAAAAGGGGATGAGCCAAACTGTGGTTTGTCTACAACAGAGCCCAGAGCTTTGTGACAACTGAAGCAAAAAGGGAAACTGATCTGTTGCACACATGCAATTATTTAATGAAAGGAAACACACAAAGATTTCCCTCTAAGAGGAAATCATTATTCTGGTAGTTACATGAGAGATATTGGTCATCACTTTGGGTATTGTCTTCAAGAGCTAGCCTTCCTCCCCTTTCCATCTTTGTTCCTGAGCTCCTGCCCCTCCTCATCCAGGTACTCTATGTCCCAGCTACTCCAGAATTCTTGATGTTGTCCATGGCCTTCTATCCGTTGGAGTCTTTGCAGAGGTGGTCCCTCTGCCCACAATTCTCTTTCCTCATTTTCTTCTTCCATCACACAGCTCAAATTCACTCCCTCTTTGACATCTGTCCTCATCAGGTTGGTTCTGTAATACCTCCGATTCCACCCACAAAATAGGCCACCTATAGTCATCGTAGTCATTGTAGCTCAACAATCAGTTCAGGAAATTTATCCCTTCTGCCTCTATCCACAGAGTCAAACCTTTATGCTCCTATCTGGTTTCAGTTTCAGAGCCTGGTACCTGGATTCTTTCTCTCTGACTTTTACATGGAAAATTCATGTAAAGAGTCTGCTGGCTTTTGATTTTGCTTCTCCCCAAGGAGAAGGTAGTCTTTCGGATCTCTCCTGTTTGTAACACGTACTACAGTTCCAGGAGAGCATCAGCTTACCCTTGTGTGAATTAGAAAAAGTTGCCCATGGGGAATAGCCAACTCAGAAACCTTGGGATTGCATGGCTCATGTCCTCCTTTCCTTCAGGCAGACAGCACTCCCTGCCAGGGCACGAGGCTAAGGGAGTGGAGTGCAGCAGGAGCCTGTGTGCCCTGCAAAAACTTCCCACCACTAATAAAGGGCCCACCTCCCAATTCCTTGGGAAACTTGTCAGCCTAGGCTCAGAATGGGAAGCGATAGATACAAAACTGTCTCTAGTTTCTCCAGAAGAAATCTGCCTCCTTCTTTTGCAATTAGCTAACGTTCTGTTAGACACATGGCTCCATAATGTGAATCTTTGCCTGCATGTCTGACTTCCAGGATCAGGAGACCTGAGTAATCTGTATACTTCTAGAGCCTTTCTGTTTACCTATCACTGCTCCAAAAATGTCTTCTAAATAAATCAATGAATGAATATTCATCGAAAGTTTTAATGGATCTCAACCATTTCCTTAATTAATCTCATTTTACCGACAATAGTCAACAGAACTGCAGTTATGCTTAAAGTCTTTCTGCTCACCAGAGAAAACGTTAGATCGAGAGGCTCTGGACAGACTTACTGGGTAGAGACTGGAGTCAAGTCTAGACAGGATATCCAGCTGATTGGTGGGTCAAAATTTTGCCAAAAGAGATAGAATGTCTCTTTATTAGCAAGTTAATTAGAAATAAATCCTTGTGCGAGGTCAGAGTATACCTATTAGAGAAGGATTTCAAGAGCTCTGGGTTAAATTTTCTCCCTCTTCTTGTGACTCATACCATGTCTCTAATGCTTTCCAAAAATGTGGGGCTATAAGGCCAGAGAAATTGTTCACTCAGGGCCACGTTTTAAATAAGTGTGGTGCCCAAGTCTGCAGACATTGTGTGCACCAATAGCTAGGTCAGGCCCGTTCTCTGAAATGTATATCTGTTAAAAAGGATTACTTCCTTTGAGAGGAAGCTCTATTGATAACTTTTCTAGGCTTTACCAACCAAAGGAAAAGGGGACGTCAGTCTTGCAGCTTGCCTAGACGAGGTACCTTTCAATCCGTTATCTGTCTAAAGCTTCGCCCAGACGATAGCCAGACTTGGGTGTTTTGAACCATGGAGGCCATTACATGTGCAGAGAGCTCTTTCCTTTGGTTTAATCCTCCTGATCTACGAGTTTCTCCATCCAGTTTTTTAAACAGTTAGATGTAGAGAACGCAAATTTAGTGGGAAAAATATCGTTTGTAATCTTTACATCTTCATCCTTGGGAGTGGTGAAGACAGAAGAGATAACAAACAAGAATCAACAGTAACTTCTATAGAAAACTACCGTTTGAAGTGAAAGTAAAGTTGGTCCTAAACATTTCTCAGTGACCAAAGGAGTGTCTGGGATATAAAAGAAAATATATATGTGAAAGAATGAATCTGATAGGCTACGATTGAACAGTATTAAACTGTGATTATCAAATAATATGACCCAATGGACAGACTT